GGGAGACCCGTCGTACTCCTTTGCTATATATTTTTGTGAACTTGACAGTGTACAACGTATATTTCTATCGATTTACTTTACTGACTAATGAAAACGTGGAATTAGTCTATTGATCGCAGTCATGTAAACAAAACCCAAAGGCAGCCTCATACCCAGGCCAGTTCGCGCTATCCGAGTTACAAGAGGAGGCTTGGAACCGGCGAATTTTCCCGAGAAACTTGACAGGTGACGTCACATCCGAAATCACCGAGGGCGACTGGGAACGAGACTTAGCTGATCCCTGCTACCAGGGTGGCAATGCTCAACTTCCACATCTCGCGTAAATGAGCGTAAAATTGTTACTTACTTTATGCTAAATTTTGGAAAATTGATAGGTGACCGTTTAATAGAGGGTGACCAGATGGAGGGCCTCTTAATAGAGGTTTGAGAACTCTGAACAGCCTAAAAAGTGTTTTTAATGTGTTGAGGAGGAAATCGTTGTTCAGGGTGCCCCGAAATTACGACATTCCACGTCATGGTGCAAAGCCGGTTGTTGTTTGAGCTAATTAATTAAACCCATTACTTTTTCGATGTTCCGTTGCCATTGAGAAACTTTGCCTTCATGATGTAGATTTGTATGTTTCAATTTTGTTATACTCCTAGCTTCTTCTAGACAGAGTTGAATGATGAAAGGCTGGAATTTACAACCCCTTTTTTCGATTTTTGGTTCTCCTGAGGTTCACACCCTTGAAAAAACCACACAGAGATCAAGACAGCTCCAGCAATGGCAGTATATATCTCCTTTTATTTCAACACCGTTCAAACCCAGTTGCATAAATTTTATACAATAATATAAATAGTGGTACGATGAGACGAATGCAGAATGTCTCCTACGAATAAAGGTATATTTTATACGTAACCCTGAATTATTTTAGTAACCTTAAAACCTACAGCTTTTATGTTATACTTTTAACAGTTGCACTTAATGACGAAGGGGGTTTGATGTTAAAAGTTTAAATCAGAAATGCGCCAAAGTAACTGTGGTAGGTGGCCATGTATATCTTGGCGGCTTTATTTGGATAACTGTTGATACTCAAGGTGATTTCATCACCAGCCTTCAGGTAGAACACCCCACCAGCGTACAAGCTACCATGGTGATTAACACTTATTGGGGGCTGCATCATGGTAATGGCTTTGCTGTTTACATTAACAAAAACCCTCCCACTGCTGTGGTAGTAAATTTGAGCGTAGATGTAATACCGTCCGGGGGGTAGGCACCGTCAATTTTCCGTTGTAGTACTTCATACCACCTGCAAGATGGCTGTACGGAGCACTGACCGACCAATCCTTGATCACTAAAAAGCAAGTTATAAACATACACTCTAAGTGGTTTGGGAGATGTGGGTGACCTTGCGTGGGAAATTTTCGAACGTTTTCTTCTAACCCCACCCCTTACCTCAATTACAGTCGGTTGCATCTATAGTTCTTATCTTTCAGTGTAAGTACATAACTTAATCCTTCTTTGAAAAACCCAACCTTGATGACTACAAATACTGTTGATTCAAATCCTCCTCTTTCCTCGATACTCGAAGAAACTAAATTTACTTGTTATCGTATTTTTTTTTCTGAGGTCTGTGTTGTAAATCATCGAAACTTTATGAGGATAAACTATCTGTTCGAATTTCTCGCTAGACAAAATACAAAATTAAAAAAAAGCAGTAGCCTGCCGTGAACTAGTAAAACAGTGAACTGAAGTACCTGTGTTGGCTGGGTAGAGGACCTCTCTCTTGTAAACAGCCTCGATATGAGCAGATGGTTTCTTTGGATCCTGAAATAAAAGCCCGATGATGAATGTTTCCTTAGAATGACATAAAACTTTTAAAGTATTGTAAAACTGAGCAGAGATCTATATAATACTTAAAACAGCATGCACTGAGTTGATCATCAATTTGTACTAATTGTACGAATCTGTGCTTTCGATTCGCACTAAAAGCAAAGGATCAGGACCGCAAAATTGTGAAAGTTAATACCTGTACTTAAAAACTAAATTGTACAAGAGAGAGTTTTATTGAAAATTTCCGCTTCCGTAATTTATTGAAAGTTAAAGGGAATATTTCACGGCTCTCTAGTTCATTTAATTTTATTAAGTATTTCCAATTATGCTCTATGGACCTAAATTGCTTGTAGATGGCAAAAATCACAACGTCATATCAAACTATAATGTCTCCCAAACATCATATCAAACGTTACAAAGAACAAAAATGAACTTTGAAAAACCCGATCAAGCTAATTTTAACTAGAAAGTTTTCAAAAACTAGAATCTTAATCCGTTTCAATCTTTTTCAAGTTTACTACGGTTCGTCCGTGCCTCCTTTTGTATTTGCTGTCTAATTTATACCTTATTATATTTTAGTGTTTTTGAGCGGTTATTTTTATGTTTCGCTCATGCAATTTGGTACCATTTGCAACTGTTTAATTTTGGTAAATGTTCGTGACACAGCTCCTATCAGGGGCACCCAACGACGGTTTCCTCCGAAATGCATTGAAAACACTTTTTAGGTTATACAGAGTACTTTCAGATCTCTAGAAATGCATTCTAGAGGCGCTATGAAATTTGTACCTGTTCAGTCATCCTAAGGGAGCTTGAGTCTTTTCGAAATTACAAGGGCTTTGTTAGTATTATTCCACCAAAAATTGTGGATCAATACAATGTAATGTATTACGGAAGTAGGAGATTTTTATCTGGTTCCTCTCTCCATCACATTTTTGAATCCGAAAATTTTAGGTCTTCTTTTTTCTACGAAAATTGCCTAACTTGGTGAGAGAAATGTGAAAAAAAAAACGTAAGCAATTTAGTAGATAAGTTTCGAAAATTGTTCGTGAATGGAACGGTCATCTAGAAATTTTTAGCCGCCCTCAAGCTTAAGAAAATTCTAGGCAATATTTTCTTCTCCGAACAGAAATTTAACAGAAAAAACAGTCGTTGGGTGCCTCTGTCCTATCTCAGTTGACTAAACGTTAACTATTAAGTAGTATAGGACCAAGGGATCCTTTATATCAACATTTATAAGAAATGAAAACTATTAGCACTGTCTAACCTGTAAGGAACATTGGCAAGGTTTTCCTTTATCGCCTTTTGCTCCAGTGTCGCCCTTCACACCTTTTTCTCCCTAAAATGAGGCATTCGAAATCACTACTAATTGCGGCACTAAAATTTCGAACTGTGCATGTAGAGAAATTCACAGTCACGTACCTTTTTACCTCTCCGACCATGAACATTGATGTCGATCGGTGAATGCGAAGGAGCATAAATTCTCTGAAATAAAAGTTTCTTTTCAAAGATCTGGATTAAGTATCAAATTTGGGCTGCAAAGTTGCTTCGCACAGTTCTCACTATTCACAAATCACGATTAAACTGTGCAAAAGGGAATGTGTCTTTTTTGATGAGTTTCGAGCGGTTGTCCGATGGTCCGGAAAGCACTCTTAGTACTTGATCGGTGCACTGATCTCACTGAGGCACGCTTATTATAAACTGATTGACGCACTCTTTGTCATCTTTACCAGAGACAGTGACTATGGTTTTCAAAATGTTTTTCACGACTTCCAATACGTCTTGAATAGATCGTGTAATGAAAAAAAACTATTTTGGAAAATAAACGAAATTGACCATTGTCTTACTTGATCTTGCGGGGTACTTCCCGCTCGGGAGAAATATAAACTGGCACAAACCAGGGAAACACAGATAAAAACGAACTTGATCATCTTGACAGCGCAGCGCTGAAATTGGCAACTTTCGCGAAAGAAGAACACAGAACAAATGCATAGTACTTGTGAATAGTAGCTTCGATAAAATACGTTGTTGTTTATTAAATCTAAGGGCAAGTGAAAACAAGAATTGTGCCCTCAGGAAATGGCGACACTAATTATATGTAAGACGTGTGGATCTTCAATCATTAGCACGTTTATGGGGTACGTGAATTTCGTTCATGTTTAGAAATATAGTTATTTTCTATTCTGGCTTCAAGAGATATTTTTACGTTCTTAGGAAAGCTGAAATTTTATATATGGATGAACTTAAAAATATGTTCAGTTATAGCATTATTTTTTGAAGTGGTTCAATTCATGGGTCAGTCGCAAAACTCTGGCGACTGCTCTTTTAAGCGTTGCGGCTTGAATAACTGATAATTATATGCATTGTGATACTGACAAATATATAGAGGATATTACACGGTGGCGCGAAGATATATGAACTTTATTTTCGAGTGGCAAAACAATATTTTACGAGCGAGCGCAGCGAGTGAGTAAAATATTGTTCTTGCCACAAGAAAATAAAATTCATATCTTCAAGCAGCCGCGTAATGTTCCTTTTATTGTATAGACAAAATCACATCGATAAAATAATAGAGGGAAATTACCAAAATTACGTCAGCGATAAACTCACGTGTGAGATTATGGAAAATAAACCACTCGGGTCCCGGATGAAACACTCGCGTCTACTAGACACGAGTGTTTTACTGGAAAATAGTTGGTAGTACCACGTTATTTATTTCATTTTATTATGATAATAAAATGAAATAAATAACGTAGTACAGCCAACTAATCGAGCATAACAAATAATTTTAATTATTTGTTATGCTCGATAAAGTATGTTAAAACATACTTTATCAAATACCTCTCTTTCCTCGGATGAGTGATAATAAACTAGTTAAGTTTTCTTCAGGAGTTTAGCGGTGTACAGTCAAAGCCCGTTAATCATGACGGACACTGAAGCCGCCAAAGGAAAAAAAATGTCCTTGTTAAAGGAGTGTTCGCTTCTCTCTTAGTGTTCTTCGTTAGGCTACCTTGGTCTTCAGAGGTCCGTGCTCGAAATACAATAGTAGGATGAGGAAAAAAAAACTGGCACTTTGGGTATCATTAATCGGGTCATGTTATTAATTGAAAACTGTTCTTTTCATAACTCGTTTGATGCCAAAATAGTCTGAATTTGGCGTTTACAATTCATCCTATCTGGTGTCACTATAGCGCTGGGAACATCAACATGCTATCATCTGAAAGGCACCTTTGAAAAGGAAAGGCATATTTCAGCACACAGCTGACAATGTTGAATTCGCGTTAGCGGGATCACTTTCTATGAGAATAATATGTTGATACGGCAAGAAACAAAATGTCTGTTGTCTGCATTAACGGGTGTCCGTATGGAGGGGGGTTGAATTTAGAGAAAACCCTATCAAATCGTGGATAAATTCTTGCTATTCGAGAGAACGGGCGAGTCAAGGGATCGATCCCTCGATCGCAACGAGAGGCACAGGCAGTCCAAACTTGAGCAGTCGGGTCGGGTAAGAAGTCTGGTATCGACTACCCAACGAAATAAAAAATAGGCGCAGGCGATTCCTTTTCCCTCTCTGTCAAATCCTTCTTGTCCATTGTGTCCTTCTAGGCAGTGTTTGGGCTGTGGCTTCAAAGAACTAACGTGATATTCTGGGTAGTTAGATCAGGGACAAGGTCTATATGTCTGTCTCTTAAGAGCAACAAGAAAAAGTCGAAATCCTTCGGCACGAACCTAATGTACGGTAGAAGCAGTCTAGTGCTCGACTGAGAGTCGTTTGATACTTTCTGAGCCAATCAAAAACTACTGCAAAGCTGATTCAGAACAACGTGTATTGTTTTTTTCATAACAATACGTCTTTAAGCAACCGCCTTTTGTTGCTTATAGACGTAGCCCTAATCTTCGTGACCTTTTAGATAAGGCACAATTACCCGTTATCTCTGATAATCATTTTCGGCCAGGCTCCTTCCGCTGTAGACAAAATTGTGCTACTTGTCCATTCATCACTAACGGCCTCACAAGTTATACTTTTTACGCTACAGGTGAAACATTAGCCTGCGAACGGCAGACGTTTCTCCTCCCTCATTGCCTCTGAGGGACGTTTCGCGAGGAGGAACGTGAAACGTCCCTCAGCGGATGAGCGAGGAGAAACGTATGCCGTTCGCAGGCTAGCCCGCCCGCCGGCCGCATGGCCAGAAATTTCAGACAGACAGCGGCATGAAGTGTAGGCTCATGTAATTTTCTTTCGTTTTGGTAAAATCCGTGAAAAACGGTAGAATCTTAAGATTAAGCACTGAAAATATAGCATTTGTCAACTACTTATAATAATATGCATATTCAAAAGAGGAAAAACCGAAGATTTCCTGATATTACATCATTGCGCAATCAACAGCCTTACGGTCACACCGAGTCACGCCACTTTGTCATGCGAAGTCATGATTGCTTGAAGATGCAAGGCTTTTACAGCTCTGTACAGCGGGAATCCGTCAAAAAAGCTCGGTTTCAGAGTCCTTCAAAGATGGCGACTGTTTTTTGTTCAGAGTTTCATGATTTTTCACTCGATTTCACTCGAGTTTTTTGCTTATCATTGCGGTCATTTCCTCCAAGAGACCGACAAACAAAAAACTTACAATACTGGGTTTCGCGAGCCGTTTGGCCGAGCTTAAACAGCCTTCTGTGCCTCAAGATTGATCTCAAATGGACGATCGATCATGGTGGAAGAAGATCTGACGTGCACAATTTGTAAACATGGGCTCACATCGGTCGTGTAATGCACGGAACATGGCAAACAAAGGCAGATTTAAGACATCTAAGTTGCCATTAAGGGCTAAAAAGTTATGCGATCGTGGCCTAACTTAGGCAAATTGTTGGAACGTGAGAATTCATGTAAGTAGGCATTGTGTTGATTTCTGACGGTTTAGACGTGCACATTTTTACTATCCACTATATTTGCCTGGTACGGATACATTTTGTACTTTTCTCATATAAAGCTTCGTACGGTCGCCATGATTAAAGTTCACAAAATCGCCCGCAGGGCGCATGACCGTCCGCCATGTTGTATTCGATTTCTGCCATAAAGTAATGTGTGAAGTGATGGAGCGTGTTTCACTACAGTGAGTCAGACTTGTAACACTAAAAACGTGATCTACATGGTTCAATGTGACCGTTGACCGTTATACGTGAAACTGAGCGACGCCTCAAGGACAGATTTAACGAACACAGACGTGCAGTTGACGAAACTAGCATTAAATCTAAACCGACTACTGCTTCTGAACACTTTCTCTCTTACTCTAACCATTCTCCTACTGACATGCAGTTAATCCCACTAGAGAAAATTCATTCTTCACGTGACTCAGTTCGTAAGGCTAGGGAGTCGCATTTGATAGATAAGGCCACGATCTTAAACCTAATGCCAAAAAAAGCGAAAAGCGAAAAAGGAAGGGAGGAGAGAAAGAGGAAAGTAAAAGTCAAGACTGCTGTGTCACTTTTAAACCTCGAAATTCTGCTTTCTGGGCATGCCTGAACTTCGCAAGCTGATATTTTGCATCTGGATCAGAAGGCCGTGAAGTATACGACCTGTAAACGGCTTTGTGGTAAGTTTTAGCTCTTAATAGCACGACAGTGACCAGAATTAACCGCTCGAATAGCTTCAAAACGTTTTTTTCTGCAAAATCTTCAGGGGCGAATTTGTTAACCAATTTTTATTGCGACATTCTCCGTCTATATAATATTGTGATTCCTACATAAGCTCAGTAACATCTGTACACCTGAAGAAGGCTGGAATGACTAGCCGAAATATTGTTATGAAAAAAACAATACACGTTGTTCTGAATCAGCTTTGCAGTAGATAGTCTATCATGGACTTCTCGTTTTTGGTTCAAGATGGCTGTACGGAGCACTGACCGACCAGTCCTTGATCACTACGAAGCAAGGTATCAACATACGTGATTTTAGAGATCAACGTCATCTTTCTTGACAATTTTGGAAACATACTTATAAGTTTACCCAATGCCAATACCCCCACGATATCCTAGTACCCCTTAAGTCCTTAGTAGGAAGGAGTTCTTGGTCACTACGAAGCAAAGTAGCCAATTTTCAGAGATTGATGAGATCGCGTGACAACATTCATTTACTTCAAAAAGAATTTTTTTTTCCTTTTTCCTCTTTCCTGCGTTTTTAAAAAAGCGTAACTCTTGCAGATACAGTGTTTCTTTCAAGTTTTCAGGTTTAACAAAATTAAATGCAAACTTAGCCGAATTGCGGTGAACTTGAGGTACCTGTGTTTGGTGGGTAGCAAACGGTATAGCTTCGCTATAAGCAGACGGCTTCTTTGGATCCTAAATTAGAACTTCACATCGCAGTAAAACACTGAAGGACGTCAAGAACGTACTAGAACTAAAGTAACAGTTTAGACGCCAAATGTAACATTAATTAATGATGAAAATCATTATCAATTCAATTTCAATTCATTGGCAGTCAAGTCAATTCCATTGCAATTTCGTTTTAGTTTTAATAAATTTGCTCTCAATAAACTGTGAAAATTCAATGAAAACTTAATTTTAATTCTGTACAATCGAAAGTCTCAACAAAATTAAGAACCGTATTTTTCATCCCTAAACTTCAAGATGATTTCTATCGTTTTATGAATTGCTATTGAACTGAAATTCAATTGAGACTGAATTGCTATTGAGATTCATTACTGATGCCGGCGTTATAGTGATGTAATCGGCTCATTTTACGGGAGAACCTTTTCTTCCGTTATAGAATGATGCTTCGTTACTTTGGTCACATGGCGAAAATATCGTTATACGACAAACACGTTTGCTAGTCCAAACCAACCAAATGCCGAAATACTGTTCCTTTGCTTCACGATCAGTTTACATGACTCTTGTCATTCCATATTCAGACATTAGAGAGGTATCTGAATCTTATGTCATAATCCTCTTTCTGTTGTTGGAATTTCAAAAGCCTGTCTAAATATTAAGGTGTTTCGATATAGTTTTTCAGAGGCCATACCGGTATTTTTCAATCGCTTTAAAAGTGATTTCTCCTTGTCTGATTGCGATAAAATTTTTACCAGTGATTGACTATAGATTGAAATTTGCCAAAATGTAGGTTTTAGTAAAATCGATATTACTATGGCAACAATAAACAAAAAACTTTGAAATTGATAAACGCCTAATTTTGCACGATCTAGACCTGCTACTGAAAATCCAACACAATAAGGAACTTAAAGTTTGGTGTTTAGCAAATAACCTCCGTAAGAAGTAAAAAATTCTGTCTGTTTTGAATTCGACTAAAACGAAAATATATTTCAAACCTTTAATTTTCAATAGCCGTGATAGATTATGTAATAAAAACGCATTCACTGTTTTGACGTTATGCTAATTTTTCCAAATTAATATGGACAATACATACATCCATGACTAGTACATTTCAGTGTGGGTATTGTCAATGTTTTACATTCAAAAGATGCGATAAATTCAAACTAAAATGTACTAGTCATGGAGGTATGTATAGTGCACACTTATTTGGAAAAATTAGCTTTAACATCAAAACAGTGAAAGTTGTAACGCAGATTTTTGACCGGTTCGTAGGATAGGTTTGTCTTGAAATTTCAAGGTGTTGCAGTGAATCAATCGTAATGAAAGTTTCAGACATTATTGTATACATAATGAAGATTATGTGAAGAGATTTAAAAAAAAAATTCTTGAGAGTCGTTTCAGAGATATACAAAAAAGCGCTAAAAGTCCAAATTTTGAATGAAGTTGCACCTATACAGGTGGTGAGAAAACGAGTTAGTTTTCAAGATCGCGACAACGAAAGTACACCAAAATTTTGATATCAAGTAGCATTCTGACGCTACTTAAGAATAATTTGAGTCATTTATAACGTTCAGTTATTACATAAACTATCACGGCTATTGAAAATTTTAGATTTGAAATATATTTTCGTTTTAGTCGAATTCAAACATACAGAATTTTTTACTTCTTACGGAGATTGTTTGCTAAACACCAAACTTTAAGTTCCTATAGTGTTGGATTTTCAGTAGCAGGTCTAGATCACACAAAATTCGGCTTTTATCAATTTCAAAGTTTTTTGTTTATTGTTGTCATAATAATATCGATTTTCCTTAAAACTACATTTTCACAAATTTCAATCCATAGCCAATGGTGAAAATTTTATAGCGATCGGACAAGGGAAAAACCACTTTTAAGGCGATTGAAAAATATCGGTATGGCCTCTGAAAAACTGTATCGAAACACCTTAAAAAGTGTAAAAACACCGCTGACTCAATATCTTAGGATATACCTTCTTGAACCCTGGAATTTAGAACGTTTGTAGCAGTGTTGGCCTTTATTTACGAAACAATCTTAAATTTAGAAGTCGCCCAGATTACACCTTTTCCGATCTTGACATTACTAGACCACTATTTGTAGAAATTACTGTCCCTCGTGGAAAAAACATAATTGTATAGTAGCTCGCTCCCCCCCCCCCCCCCCCCCCCCCCCCCCCCCCACCCGAAAAAAATCACATCTTGTCTGGAAGAGTTTGTTACTTGCATACCGAGCAATCTACTGCTACTCCCCTATCACCACCCTCACAACACCACACCCCACTTCCCCTCCACGACGCCCCTCCGCTCTATTTCTTTTATTCTGCAGTAGTGGCAACCCGCATACTTTGTTTTTTGGATACTGTGTGTTCCAAAGAAAAAATAGTTTGTTAAAGAATATATGACATGGATATATATTCTCTTTTAGAAAAAGTTTTTGATATTTTTTTTTTTGTTTTTTTTTTGTTGTTGTTTTTTTTTTTTCAAGCGAAAAAGGCCAAATGTGTTCGGGCTTTGCCTGGGGTTAAACGGGTTGCCTTTCCGTTTAGAAAAAAAAAAAATTTTTAAGTGCCCCCCCCCCCCCCCCCCTCCCTCCCCCGCCCCACTCCTAATCAAAACGTTTCATTGTTTCTGGTTAAGTTCATTGATTGGTTACGAACGATTTCAATCTTGACGCCTTATACGCCACTCTGAAAACCTACCGACTCACGCATTTGACACGAACAGCCGGCTTACCAACTATATCTCGAACGGGGATTAGCCGCGGAGAAAAACGAGACCTAGGAAATAGGAACTTCCCTCCTCAAAAGTCAGTACTCTAAATTCCAGTTCAATTTACAACGCAAGAACACGAGTTCTAAATTGTCCCTATAGTACTTTCAGGGGTACAGGGGTAACCAAATTGCTGTGACTGCTTATTTTAATCGTGCTTTTTTCAGCGAATCGTTTTCTCAATCATGCTTGTCCGGGGTCCGTCAAAACCAACTAGTGAACACACAGTGCAAAGTGCTTGTTGCTAACAGGAGTATTATTGTAAAGCTAAATTTTGAAATATCAGTCGCCTTTTGTTCTTTTCATAAGCCTTATTGGCCTCCACTTTCATCTACTGTCAGTGGAAAGTTATCCGAAAATTACAACGTGCCCTTGTTTTTAAACCTTTAAAAATTTGCAAAAATTTAGTCAGTGAACAACAAATATATGGCCTTATCTGCGTTTATTTCAACATCAAACCTGTTTAGTTAATAACAGTAATGTACCTCGCGGTAGTAACCATGAGACCACAGTCTAGAATGTCTCCTACAAAACGTGTCACTCTGAATTAGAAGCGAAGTAGCCTTTTCAAACTTACATCCCTTAATTTATCAGGCGATGTTGCATTTGCCCCTCGATGGCAATGCTTATTTAACTTCAAGTAACAAAAAAAAGCTCAGATCAAAAATGCGCCAAAGTAACTGTGATGGGTGTACATGTAAATTTTGGCGCCATTTCTATCAGGATAATGGTAAGAAGTCAACGCGATGACGTCACCAGCCTTCAGGTTGAACACCCCACCAGCGTACAAGCTACCATGGTGATTAACACTTATTGGGGGCTGCATCATCGTGATTGGTTTGTTGTTAACCTTAACAAAGACTCGTCCATTGTTGTGGTAGTAAATTTGAGCGTAGATGTAGTACCGTCCTGGGGTAGGAACTGTCAGTTTTCCGTCTTGATACGTCATACCGCCTGCAAGGTAGCTGTACGGAGCACTTACCGACCAATCCTTGATCACTACGAAACAAATTATCAACACATTTCAATCAAAATGTGAAAGGTTTAAACCCAGGAGTCATTTCAGTCAGTTTGTAATGTAACTACGCATCTAATTTATAAGGTCATGCCCTTAACCGTCAACCCACCGTCCTAACCTGAAAGAGAGGTGGATGGATCTCAGCCCTTCCTCACAACACCTTGGCTTCTTCTTCTTCTTCTTTTTTTTTTTTTGCTTTTTGGAGGAGCGGTGAGTAATCCTCCTTTAAACAAACCGGCCTAGTTGACCAGAAAACAAGTTTTCCTCCAAAGTATAGCCCGAAATAAGTCTGGGATATTCTCCTACCTTGGCGTTTTTAAATTATCGTAGTTATTTGCCGAAAATAAAAAAAAACCCTGAACGAACAAATTACCTGTGTTGGCTGGGTACCAGACTGGCCCCTTATTGACGGCTTCGATATGAGCAGATGGCTTTTTTGGATCCTAAAACAGAAAAAAGAATATACACTGATGATGCAATTTATACTTAGGATGAAAAAAAAAAAAAAAAAAAAAAAAAAAAAAAACTAATAATAAAAAAAAAAAAAAAAAAAAAAAAAAAAAATTTTGGATAAAACTAAAAAAAAAAAAAAATTGAATAAAAAATAAAAAATTTTATAAATAGAAAATAAATAAAAGAATAATTTAAAATAAAAAATTAACATAAAAACGAGAAAAAACAAATTATACACGCACTAAATTTAAAAAAAAAACCCACACAACAAAATTGCTGTGTGTGGGCGGGGTACCAAGTGGTCCCTTTTTAAAAGGCTTGAAAAAAAAGGAGGGGTTTTTTGGGAACCAAAAAAAAAAAAAAAAAAAAAACATGAGAAAAAAATTTAACTTAGGAATAAAAAAAAAAAAAAAAAAAAAAAGTAGTAAAAGCTGATTATTGAACCGATAAGAAGAAAAAAAGTTTAAGGTTTTGGCTGAAACCTAAGAATCAAGAGAACTGGAGCAAAGATTAAAAATTTTAGCTATTAGCAGTAATTGAGAGTCTTATTTCATATTGAGACTTCAGCTTGAAGACGGACAAATGCAATTTGACACGTGCCTAATTGAAACGGAAGACGCCATGAAATTGCGGGTAGACTTCTTGCAACCTCAACTCAGCAGCAGATTAAGTAACAGACAGAAGGTTCACTGATCAGAACTAATGAATAAATGAAAATCATAACACCGTACAATAGTATTCAAACTTATGAATAATTACAAACTTTTTAAAAACTGTCTTTTTGTTACCTGTAAAGAACATTGGCATGGTATTCCTTTATCGCCTTTGGTTCCAGTGTCCCCTTTTTCACCTTTTTCTCCCTAAAAATGGGACATATCACATTAATGAATGAAACTTCCACTTGCTATTACCTACGTAACTCAAGTGAAATGGGCTTTATACGCACCTTTACACCTCCTTTTCCTTGAACATTGATGTTGATTGGCACACCTCGAGAGGCACAAATTTTCTGTAGGATAAATTGGAAAATCGAAATATTTCCGTTTTTTAGTATAACAGAATCAACCGCATTAAAGTCCCAAATTATAGGTACAAAGATGGGCATCTACAATAGCTTTTCGCTCTCTGATCATTGCGTTTCCTATCACGCATCGAGAAAAATGAAGCTATAAGCTGGCAACCAACATCAAACATATAACATAGATTAGACCAATCAGAATATTTATTTTCCTCTTTTTCTTGTGTTGCTGGCGGTGATAAATCCGGCAAACAGAAAACACGCTTGCAAACCCGAGGTTAAGCGAACTCATGTGTCAGTGGTTTGTGAAAAGATTTTCCGATCAATTGTGAAGATGACTATTCTTTCATTTACTCGTTTGAGGTTTCTGTGAATTATTAAGAGAAAGCCGAGGCTTTCAGCCCACTATTGAAAAGGTTCGCAAAATGCGCAGTAAAAGGTAATTTCTCAGAAATGAACAAACCTGACGACTGCCTTACCTGTTTTTGAGTTGTGCTTCCCGCTCGAGAAGAATACAAGCAGGCACAAATAAGAGAAAGCATAAAAACGAACTTCATCATCTTTTCACTTCTGAGCTTACCTTGTGAAACAAGTATACAGAATGAGGTGCCAGTGAATTGCTTCGTACAAGAGGAACGCTTTTGTTTATTCAAGGGCAAGCAAAAACAAGAACTTGCTTCAACAGCAAATGACGTAATATCTTAGGGGTCCTTCTTATTTAATCATTCATATGACTTGCCATCATGACTTGAATTTCAATCGTGTTTCTGAAGAAAGATCCAAAATTATTTTAATGCTCTTCGGAAAACTGAAGTAAATGTCGAAGGTCTGTTTTTCTTTTTTAAAATTCGTTTTAATAAGTCGATATACTGGATCGTCTGACGTCTTTTTTAGTGTGCTGTAAAAAGTCATATTTCAAGGACCGATGATAGCCCCCTCGCAAAAACCGACCGGCCAAGTAAGACGATAAATTATCATATTTCACCAGACATGGATCTTTTTCGTATAAACATACACGTCACCTTGTTGTCAGGAACTCAAGCAACGCAAATTGAATATTACCTGAAAAATAATGAGGCCGAGTGCCTCGTAAAATGAAATAACATTTTTCGCTCGTTTGTTTTTACTAGTCTTTGCTAATCAGTTTCATTCCTCTTTGTTTTTTTAATATTCCATTCAGACTGATGGCATGATAGCCTGCAAGTTTTACTGTGCTGTTTTACTATATTTACATATGATACACGTTTATTACTTAGAGTGATCGTACTCTCTATGAACTGATTTCTTTCCAAGTTCTTTGCCACCTTTTTATTACGATAGCTTAAATCTCAAGAGTTTCAAACTGATCCCCTCACCAGATCATGATATTCGTGGCAAAAATGTTCCGAAATTAAACGTCTCCTTACTAAGTCGCGCACAAAACATGTCTTGCGGAAGCGAATTATGCTGTGCACCTATATACTGTTTATTGTAAATTTGGTAAAAATTCTTCTTACTACAGCGGAATTTTTTTGCCATGTCGCAAAAAATGGTTCGACGGTAGTCGCATTTGGCGAAAATGTAGTTTCGCAACAAATACATGTTTCCCAGTTCAAACAAAACGTCCAAAGAGTGGACTTATTCAGAAGCTTATTTCTATAATCGATGCCAGCTCAATAATAAACTTTGTGAAATGAAGCGTTTCAAACTTCCTTCATTATTTATTCGAAACAAAGAAAACCTGAAGAGCCATTTTACAAAACTGTGAGAGGAAACTTGTGGCTGACAATGCTATTTTTCAATCGTTCTCATGTTCTGGGCCTTGTTGCCAGCGCGCATGTTCTACCTTCAGCGATCGATATTTCTGCCTAATTCATTGCTATTTAATTAAAATTTACATTTTCACAAGGCGTATGTATATAGCTTTAACAATTTAATCTGCGCAGTTACATGTACTTAGTTCAAAGTGTGAAGAGATTTGCTACTTAGCTTTATGTTCTGACCAAAATGAAATAATGGCTCCTTCTGATTGTCCATAAATTTCTCCGCCATCTGCTAGGCATGCCGGTGTCGCTTCTAACAGAAGTAGGGATTGATATATATCTCATTGACATGCGTGAGTTACTGAGTTCCAGGTTAGACTAAAAAGCGTCTATTCCAAAGCCCTTCTTTTGACCTCTTTCTACCCTCCTGGGGTATTCTCGAGGAAGGTACCATCTGTTTAATTCTGCCTAGCTGGGCGTTCGACATTACAGGTATCCAAATCTGCGTGCGAGAGAGGTTTTTAAAACCAAAAGTACGTGTGGATGACAGCTGAACTCGCTGAGGAAGGGTTTCGCCTCCAGATGGAAGATATGTCCCTTATCAGAATAATTTTAGAAATGAGACTGCGCACTGGCCTCTGGCGCTCATTCCCACTATTTTCGAAAGATCGTCCAAGACGACGACCTATACTACTCCGTAATGGCCACTGAAATACCGTTGAAAGTTAGTTGCTGCCAGCGAAACGCGTTGTATCTGAGCTGTCCCGTCATCATTTTGAGCCTACATTTTCATTTAAAACAGATGTGCTGATACTACAAGCCATGTCACGTACGAAGGCATCCTCGTCTCCAGACTCTCGTGTCTCTCTCAGCCGGAAGGTTTCTCCGAACCAGGACCAGAAGGCCCCGTCAGCCAACAGGAACGGGGGGGTCTGGATGAAATTAAAGTCAGGTCAGCATTATAGATCCCATCGACCGTAGTCCCTTTCTCCCCTCATGAAATTGACAAGAAGTAGAACTGTTTTCTGCTTTTATCTCACACTCAGATGATATTTCGAGCTGGAAATGTTCATTAAAGTGCAAGTCTCTTCAATTTGAAAGAAAAAAAAATTGATACGAAGGAAAGTAGGATTCGAACCCACGACCCACAAGGTCCAGTATACTACGTTCACCACTAGACCACTGATCGACGATTTGCTGGATAACTGAATTACATATAGCATCAACCCCAACCCAAAAAAAGGAGCCTAACCAGTTTCGAAACAGTGCTTAACCCTAACCAGTAGATGCAGTGCTTAATCCTAATCAGTAAAGGGTAAAACTACGTTGTCTAAATTTCATGAGGTGTCCAAAGGGGCTACGGTCGATGCATGGGGTCTAATGATAGTGCATGAGTCGCGCATGGGGGTTTCTTCCCCATTCCCTCACGGGCCTTTTTCTTTCGCGCTCGCAAATGACTATTTATCATTCGCCGTGCTAGCGAAAAAAATACCAAACAAAATATAAAGTGAATGAACAAGAGAAATTTTTGGTACGATATTATACATCGTAGATGGTGTTTGATAACGTTACTTTATCTTCTGTCTCACGAAATTGACAATAGTCACTTCAGTGCTCAGTATTGATCACGACGTATCAACCACCTACCAAATGCTGTATATATGAGACAAATAAGACTGGTTGATATTCAGATCAGTTTTCAGTGACCTCTACACCTTGATATTGTTTTACTCATTTATTGTTTTTCGCCTTTTTCATGAAAGAGTGTAGCAGAACTCTTGGACTACAACAGTTATTCCAAACAAGCATTCCCTGTCATCAATCGAAAGCTACTGTTTCGATTCTCCAGAGTTCAAGAGAAGTGAAGGTGAAAAGAGGACAGTTCAAACATAAGTTGGCCATTTTAGCCATGGCGGTTAAATGTTGCAGAAAAGTGGGAGTTGGTTTTTGCTTCTTCAACATAACTCCCGGAGGTATGGGTGCAATAAAATCTAATTTTAAAAATCCTGTAGTATTAGTTTCTGGTTATTCGAGAGATCGCGCGAGACGAGGGCCAGCGATCGAAACGCGAGGCATTATGGACCGACCCAACGTGAGTGGTCGGGTAAGATGTCTGATATCAACTACAAATAGGCGCAGGCGCTCCTTTTTCCATTTCCTTACGCTTCCCTCTGAGATATCCTGCCTGCTCATTGTTCCCTTCTAGACAGTGTTTGCGTCAATCGTCTGACCCAACTTAAAACGCTGAAAGCTTGTAAAAGAACATTGTCTTCCCCGTAAAATGTTCCTTAGTCGCTTGAAAAAAGCTTCTGGCAACAAAATAAGCTTGAATTTGGCATGATTAATATGTGACATTACGAACATTCGCATCCAAGCAAATGGCTCTGAACTTAGTCGAAGCAACAGGGGAAATAGCGTGCGAATCGAAGTTAAGATGACATCGCTTGACATACGCATACTCAAAATCATCATGGCTAAAGGAGCCTCCCAAATCGAGTTTTAGCTCTTACTGCTCTTAGGCACAGTCTCCACCAAGAATGGTGGGATGGTCACAAGGATGTTCGCCCGGAGAGCTCGCAGTAATAGGAAGAAAACGTAGGGGACAAAAGAGAAATATAAGCAAAAAGAAGTATTACAATAGTGACTACTCTTGAAGCAACAGACTTCTACATCTTGATGTTGTTTTATTTCTATTATCAGTTATTAGCTTCTTATTAGTTGCTGGGCTTGGAGGAAAATGGACAGTAATGTGTATTTCTCTCTTCAACTGCTAGAACGCAACTGAGCTACAAAATCAGCCACCTGTTGTGTTGAGGGTGTAGTTCTGTCAGGATTTTTTTCCCTTTCGATATTTCCTGTATCAGATTTTTCTATAGCAACAGTATCACTGGTGTTCAATTCTGTTTTTGTCTCAGAAAAGGATGTGTAACTATTTGGTGTACTTTCATTCCATGACGAGTGATAATTGGGAAAAAGGGCCGCGCCCATGGAGGGAGGGCCCTGAGGAGGTTGCCATGGAGGAAAATTCTGTTGCCACAGCGACGGAGGAGGTGGTGGGACGTTGATTGGAAATCTTGGTTGCCATGTCAATTGATGTGGTAGAGAAGTTGGTGGCACGTTGCCAGGAGGTCGCCACTGATACCCAGTCCATTGCGGTTGAATATACTCCTGAGGGGGAGGTGGAAGAACTGGAAACTCAGGGAGAGGTGGTACCGGTGTTTGTTGATATTGATTTTGTACTGGGGCTTCGTTGTCAGTTTTCTGTTCTTGATAACGCTTATCAAGGTTTCCGTCTTGCTGTTCTGGTCCTTTATCAGCTGTTTCATTTTTGTGTTTGAACAGCTTCGCTGGTTCTTTCCAGGTATTTTTGCTTGTCTGTTCTTTTGCATCTTCGTAGTAGAAAGCGGGCGGAGCAAACTCTTGAACTCTTTCAGACCGAGGATCACTACGTGAAAATGAGCCGCCTCTGTCGGTTTGCTCTGAGAAGAAAGCAGAAAACCGTCAATGAACTGTCTTTGTCGCAGAGAATCATTGGAAAACTCGCCAGTCCGACAAAATCCTACCTACGGTCGAATATAATGGCCGTACATAACATTCTCAATAGCAATTGAATTGAAAGCAAGTTTAAGTGGACCTGTTCACAAGTAACAAGTTTGTCCTGAAACGAGACGAAACGATACATACAAACTTTTAGTTAGGTTTACTGAGCCTGTTAGTGTATGATGTAAATGTCAATAGTTTCACGAGGAAGTAATTTTGCTGCATTTTCGTGCGCTCACAATCATTGGGCTGCCTGTGGCATAGCCCAATCAGGATTTACTTTTCATTGCCTATGTCAAAAAATAGGACAAAATAGAAAGCGTTATGTTTTTTCGTTGAATTGCGCGGGCGTCCCAGGAGTATAGACAGACCTAAAATAATGCTCATGTTTAGTCTAAAAAATGATAAAAACAAAGACAGTCGATCCACTTACTTATCTTATGTTTTGCCCATTCTGGTAAATCAGGTTTCTTTTCTGACCTTTCGGTAGGAAAACCCTTCTGTCTTTCCTTCGTCTCCTTATTGACGGACTTCTCTTCAACACTTTGTTCCACTGTGCTTTCCCCATTGGATGTTTGTATGCCATGTCCTCCAGTTTGTTCACTATCAGTGACTGTTTCTTCGTCTAATTCCCCTGACGCTTTCAGCTTTTTCAGTTTTCTCTCTCGCACTTTCGCGAGTCGGGCGTCCAAGGCAGCTTTCCTTTTGTCTTTCAGTTTTTGAGCGCGGAGTCGCTGTTCCATTGTCTAATGAGAGAGAAAAGATCATCTTAAGATAAGAAATTGCAAGTTTTTAGATCGAGACTTAACAAAAAGTGAACACCGAGCAGAATTTTAAGCCCTTTTCATGAAACCTAGATAATTAACAAAATACTGTAAAAAGTGGGATTCACTTTGATGTCGGGTGTAAATTATGGAAAACTATTTGTTTGCCTCCATCAAGACACTCTACCTGTTCTCTTAGTTTGTCTAAAGTCTTCATCTGCTCTTGTCTTTCTTCTTCGATTGTTGAAAACTGATAATATCCTACACCATGGTTGCGAACCTCTTTTGGTTCAAAAAAAAAGGAAAATTGAAAAGGTTACGTCGTTGTAAAAACCATAAACGCGAGTACATTAACGGAACTATCTATTTATATTCTCGAAAGGATACTGTACTTTCAGCTTCGACGTAAGTCACTAGACCAGACTGGATCAACTACTATCCGAGTCCATAATCATCTTTTCGTACTCAAACGTTTCGAGCCTACGGATGACCTCAAAAGAGTAACTGCTCAAATACGGTGGCTATTTTAAGGCCGCTGCTGAGACTGGGCCCAAGTTGTGCCGAATTGCCCTGTGGGACTGTTTTGGGGCTAAACAATAGATCCAGGTTCATGCGCAACCTACAATCATAGACAAAAGTCTTGGGACACTTGTATTTCTGGGACGTTTTCCGATTCGCACAGGCCCAAACCCTTCCCTCACCCCACAAACAATGCTGGAAGTGTTCATCCGGAAATTTTTTCGAGTTTCAACTTTGTATGGGTTCGGGGAGGGACAACTGCAGGAAATTTATGAAAATAAATCTCGCGAGCAGTTAGTGAACTGTTACCTTCTGATGTCATAGATTTTGCAATGTTGCCGGCTCAGAGATTTTGGCAGGAAACAGTTTGATTGTTAGATGTCATGTGACCTGGCAGTAACCAATGATAACACGCACTGTTGGGAAAAAATTCCCAGCTATAATTTTTATAAGTATAGGTAATAGCATGATTTGTAGTGATATTTGGCATAAATACCACGAGTGATATTTCAAAATTGTTATACGTAATTTCACGAGCCGATAGGCGAGTGAAATTTGAGACAATTTTGAAATATCACCAGTTTAGGCTTGGTAAACAATTTTTTCGTGTTCAGCACATAATTTTCATCTAGAAAAAAGTATTTACCAACTTTTCCTCGAGTTTGCCGACAGAAGTTTTATTAGCGGCTTTTTACCAAAATTGTCCCAGTCTAAAATACCACTGTCTAAGCCAATCAAATTGCAGAAATTTCTCATGTAGTAGTATAACAATTGTAATTGATTACCCACCAGACATTTACGTGTCCATGAGTTACAGATCGAATAGGCCATTTGCACTATGACGTCATTTTTCTACTTTGACCAGAATTCTTTTTGGTTTTCTTTTCAAATTAAATTTGGTAATCTCAGTGAGGTTTAAATAACAAAAGCCCTAATTTGCACAAGAAAGAAAACCTTGAAGAATTCTGGTCATAGTACAGTCAAACCGAACACCTAATTATTACGGACAGTTTGCTCTGTCCCTGGGAATAAAAAGCCCTTATAAAATTTTCTCTAAATTCAACCTGCTTAATACGGACACTTTCTATGGCCCCATCCGTGTACATATTAATGGGGTTTGACTGTAGCAAAATGTCATCACACAAATGTCCTATTGGAATTTGAAATGTTGGTTTTTGAGAAGAGGGGAAAAGCAAGGAAGAAAATTAACAACAAATTTAGCCCACATTTATGGTGTAGGCACTGGGATTTCAACTCAGGCCACACTGATGGGAAGCAAGTGCTCTCATCACTGTGCCACTCTTGCTCCCCAAATAAGTAATAGCCAGTAAACGAAGTGATAGAATCCAAAATAATCCCATGGAGCAATCCCACACAACAGCAACCCAGTCTTATGTACCACCTCAAAACTGTCAAATAAGCAGTACTTTCCTGTTGCACTTTTAAAGCTGGTGGTTCTCAATGAAATCTAGTCTCCTTCACAGCCGCTCAAACTGGAGTCACACAATGCTCCTCGCCTCCAGCATTGTGTGACTCCACCCCAAGCAGCCGGCAAGAAGACTGAATGAAATCCTATAGTGTGACTATTTAGATAATTAGCAAGCATCGAATGGGGCTTAGACTTGCCACAAGTCGACTGTCTAAATGAGGCTGAGTAGGATGTGGAATTCTGAAGATTGCGGAGAATCTTACCCACGCATAATTTGTGTAATTTGTCCTGAACAAATCAAAATTATTTACCGTCAAATCTTATGTCTTGATAGTGAACAGGTCCAATTGGCTTATTTAGGGCTTCTTCTTCTTCCTTCTCCCATTTTTGCCTCATCAGTTCTCTTCTCATGTCTTCAGACAACAGTGTTGGTGGACTGCATTAAAAATAAAGCACAAAAACAAGTTAAGGATGACATTTGTTATGCACTCTCATTAGCTTAAAGTTACAGAGAAACAGGCAGACAAAAATGTGGAGGATGAAAAAATGAATGATCAGGTCATTATGACTTATGACAAGTCTTGCACTGCAGCCTTTAACCACAGAAATGCAAGAGCAGACTATATATATTAACTGACCAAGAACGCTGGAAAAGATTTAAACTGAGCAAAATATTCAAGACTAACCTCTGTCGATTGCTGATATCTTTGTCCATCTCTTGCAAATGTTTCAGATCTTTTCGAAGACATCTTCTGGATCTACCTAAAGAGTCTACATAGTCAACCCTGGAAACAACAATTATATTTAAAAACACTATTAATAATAAATTTTATTCCTTTTCTTCTCTCCACAAATCAGACCCCCCCTGGCATTACTGCTGCCGCCGTGTCAACAACGCTTTTATTTCACTTGCTTGATTTTTGGGAAAGACTCTGCATGAATTAAGTAACTAAGATCTTTGTTGAGCATGCATGGCATGTTGCTAAGATAATTATAGGTTCAAACCCAGGCCTAATGAACCATGCGCTTGAAACAGCAGGCTCAGTTATCACTATCGGCTTACCAATTAAGGGATGCTTGCAGTCGAAAAAACCAGTTTGACAAGAGAGAAGAAGATTGACTAGCTCAGAAGTTCAGGTTATGGCGACCTCAAAGGTTTGTCGTGATTCAGGCAGAACCTCCTTTTCTCCTTTTCACTCAAGAAGACAAAAGAATGCTTTGCTCACAGGGTATTTAATACCAATGACATGTTCGTGGCAGTAGCTGAGAGAGGGAAAAGACTTCTCCTTTTGCCTACAGATAAAATCTGGCGACTTACAAGGGGACAGGAAGTTACTAAAGTAAGACAAACTATGATACTGGAAGAGCTACAGTAGAAGAGCTGGGAGGACCAGGAAGAAAGATCGGAAAACAGCTGGGGACTATTACAGCACTGTAGGCCCTTGGCAGTTGCTAAGTCATGTTGTTAAAAAAATTAACATAAAAAAAATAAAAAACACACACTATGTTGCCTGGAGAGAAAGAAATGCACTTGGGAAAGAACTAAGGAAATTACCACCTTTAAAAATTATATGAAAGCTTTATGTTCGTCTTGTCCCAGAATGCACATTGCTTGTTCCACAAGACTGATCAGCTGAAAAGGGCCTACAGTATTGGGCCAAGGAGTGTTTAGAAACAAGTTGGTTTGGAACTTTCCGGAAAATATCAGAAAACAGCTGGTGGATATTTGGGAGGATGCATGATAGTGAGGCAGAATAGACTGGGCAAGAAATTTTAGAAGACAGCTGGCAACTACTTCAATAACTTGTCAGCTTCTGTCCTCAGGTGCTTAAGCAGACGTAAGATTTAAAGGTACAGTAAAATCAGTTTCTCACCATTCTTCTTCAGGTCCTGATGGTGGTGGAATGTCTTCATCTTTCAGTGTTTCTGAATCCTGATCACTCTCTTCATCCTGACAATCAGATTTCATCATCAAAGCTATTGAGTCACTGATGCTGTCATGCAAGTGCAATGGCCCTTATGCAAAATGACTAGCTGATATAAAGTACCTCCTGAGCTTGATAAAATAAGTCAAGCAGAATTGATTCCATTTACACAACCAAGGGTTGAACTGGGAGGGGGATTGAGGGGTAAGGGCCGTCTTTAAGAAAAAGAAAATGCCGCTGTGGGCTCAGGTGGCATACCTAATTCTATATTTGTTGTAACAATCAACATCCAGCATTAAATTAGAGAGTCTGACTGGGCTTAGCCTACATAGTTGGCACAAACGTTTTTAGGGAAAAAGTAGGAATATCAAGTATGTGCACGATGCTATTTGTTATGCCTGACTTTGAAATTTAACAAATAGACCCCATCCCCTGGAGAGCTGTTTTATGTGTAAAAGATTCATGTGCACCTGTTGTAAGTAAAATTTAACCCCAGGTCAAAGCAGAATTGCTTTTATCTCCTATGAATAATTACAGCTAAGAAACAACAAAAAATCTGAATCAACTAAGCTAAATACTGGTTTAACATGAGAGGGGCTTTTACCAGACAAGTACAACACAATCCAATAATGTATCTGCTATACCATGCAGTAATGTGAAAAATTGTGTAAACATTTTCAGAATGACAGGATGTAAATTTGACAAAAGTAAGCCAAAGAAAATAGAATGATGCAAATGACAATTTCATCACCTTTGAATAAACTTTCTTGTGAAAATCTACCAGGAATCTGCCTCCATCTTCACCATCATCTTCATCTTAAGAAAGAAAAGATTAAGAGAGCATAGTTTTAACCAGATGAATCTCATAAAAGGTATGAGGTTAATTACTAAGATAATAATAATTATTGTATATGTTATTATAAATACTCTCCTGATAATTAACTAGCTTGAAAGTTTGTAATGGTTACCAGGGTTCAAAGCAAAGATTGGAAACAAAAGTAACAATAAATTAATCAGCAACACAGTACCTTCAATCTCTCCTCTTGCCATCTTTTCATACAAAGCTGCTTTAGCTTCCAAGACCTGTCTGTTGGAAGGAAGGTTAATCAAGAGAGGTTAGAAAGAAGAGCACGTATTTTTTCATACCCACTACATATTAACAGAAATTTAAAAAAAAAATTCAGACTGGAAAATGGTATCCCTTTCACTAAAAAACACTGCATTCATTTCCTAAACCTTTGGAAAGAAGTTTACTAAATAAATTGCTGAAACTGCAATTCTGGCTGTAAGTTTGAGAAATATTGTACCACATATGGGCAATTACTATCATTTTGGCTGACAGTTTGAGCGTGAAGAATTAATCCCAGAATTACCTGTCTCGGAAAGTACACGTACTTCTTTGGTAAGAAAAATGCATGGCAACTAAAATTCTTGAAGTATACCTACCGATTTATAGTTCAATCCTTGCACTGTACAATGTAAGTACAATAACTAAACTTGACTGATCGTAATCAATTTCTACATGCTCTTCCTAAGTATTTTAAAAGTTTGTTTACATGAAACAAGATACCTGTGGAAAAAGAATGCAACATTTCCGGTGTGCATGCAGGCTAACTGATAGCGACAAAATTGACGCTAATAAAATGACAAAAACAATATTCTCCGTGGATTGTTTATATTTCTGGAGGTGGTTTTAGATGGTTTTAGGTCATTCTTTGTTTTAGTATTTACCCAAGGGAAAAGCCAATGTGGATATCAATTGATTTTTACGGCATTTTGAGATTTAAGGATAGATAATGTTATGGCTATTTGGACTGTTCAATTTTAATCATTTTTATAAAACCAGTAAAACTTAATTTCCCCTGAATAAAATATTACCTTGACTTTTGCAGGGCTTGTTGCTCTTCCAAGGACAGTTCATCTTGTTTAATAGTAGTTGTCTTTGAGCCTGTATCTTTGGTCTCTTTTTTCACTTTTGCCCAAACTGGAGGTTTCTAGAAAAAGAGAAAAGACCGTCGAGGGTAATGTTACTAGAATTTACTAAAATTTCAGCTTGGAATAACTTCAAATCCTGTCAATCATCCGACTCAGCTCCTTAAAAAGGAAATTCACAAACAGCAACCCTATGTTCATAACCTACTGTCAGAACAAGCTATGATATCAAAAATCACACTGAACTGTGTACAAATCTGTAGCATATGACGTCGATTATAATAGTTGAGGTTTTCTGAATCTGTAGACAAAATTTCAGGAATCAAACAAGACAGAAATTTCTTGCTGTACTGTTTGCTTATCAATTCTATTAAATTTAAGCCAATATTGTAGAGGCACGCACAGATAACAGCTTGAATAAACTTACCTTGTGTTGTCGATTGATTTTCTGTTCAGTTCCAGCAAGTTTCTCTCGCTTGAACTCAGATTCCTTACGGATGAGCTCTGCTTTCAAGTCAGCAATCTATGAGAACAGTAGAATACATGATAATCAAGCCCACGCATACGGTCATGTGTATGGTAGATGGAAAACAAAACAAAGAATGACTTTTTATTACCGTAGCTTCGTTCAGATCGAAGACTCTTTTGGCCGCCATTTTGTTCTTGTTTGTGCACAGGCAGACCACCCTTTGTTAGTGGGGGCGTTGTTGATTGAAATCTGAGCAACGATCTTTTGTTATTTATGGAAGAAATACATATGAACAATACGGTGGCTATAATTTGTTCTAAAATGCAGAATTCAAAGCAAATTTTTAATAAACGTTTGAGGAAAATGCTAACTGAGCCATGTGTCATGTTTTTTACGCCGTCCGGTGCTGTTTTAAGCGCTATTTTGCGAGATGAATATTTGACCTCGGCGGTTAGAAGTCTCCTTCTTTAGTTCTAACCGCCGAGGTCAAATATTCATCTCGCAAAATAGCGCTTAAAACAGCACCGGACGGCGTAAAAAACATGACACATGGCTCAGTTAGCATTTTCCTCAAACGTTTATTGAAAAATTTGCTTTGAATTCTGCATTTTAGAACAAATTATAGCCACCGTATTGTTCATATGTATTTCTTCTATAAATAACAAAAGATCGTTGCTCAGATTTCAATCGGATTTCAATCAACAACGGCCCCCACTAACAAAGGGTGGTCTGCCTGTGGTTTGTGTTTCCGCTGTCTGGTAAGGTTTCTTTTGGTGGGCTCAATAGACCCTTTTCCCGTTCCAGGCTCCCGGGAAAGTCCAGCCCTCGGTTGTCAAAGGATCCACCGGATAGGTCACCGGATAGATAGTGCAATCAGTTTCCCCAATACTTATCCGGTGGATAGCGCTATCCAACGTTTGATCGAAAGACCGGGGCTAGCTAAAAAAGAGGTTGATAAGAACATATGTAGTTTGACACATTAGGGATTCAAGGTTAAGATTTAAAGGATGGGAGCTTTGTTGGTCGAGACCGTTCAAGGTGTTCCAGCCTTTATGCAAGGCTAAGGGACTGACCATTATTTTTTTGACGGGGTTGTCGGAAAATTTTCGCATGAAAACATTTTTTTATATGCGGCTTGTGCTGCAAACAATTTTTGGGGGGTCTTCGTCTTCCTGCAAACACTTTCTTTTTCACTTGCACTACAATTTATTTCAGTGTTTACAGACTCTGCAAACAATTTATTTCAAACTTTTCCAACCCCTCCCCCCTCCCCCGTCAAAAAATAATGGTCCGTCCCTAATATCATTTTACAAAATTTGTCCAGGGGGATAAGGACACGAACCGATCAGTAATCAGCTCCCTTTTTTAAGTGGGGGGCAAGAATCGGCGGTCAGGTCAGAAAAAAAAACAGGAAGAAAGAAAGGAAGGCCTTCTAGCACTCTCCCTTACTAGTGTTCTTGTTAAATTATTTTGTTTTCAGGGATCAGGTCATAAGTAGGCGTTGAATTGACTCTTAATTTGTCAAAAAGGAAAGTTGTTATGCTCTTAGAACACAAGTCTTATATTGTGTTTCTTTCCTTGCCAGTATAATACAAAAAAGGAAAGAACGAATGAACAAACTAATAGGGAAACCGGAAAGCAAGCTATTTATGGGTATGGCCATATCAAGTGTACCTCGGGTAGCAAGAGCGGAAAGCTCAGTCCGAGTGAATGATGGCGTCGATCTCGTCAGGAGGATTTGACTGTTGAACCTGTGAACGAAATCTTGTGAAATCTAGTATGGTTACCTTTGAAATGAAATGTCTTCAACGGTACTTTCACATGGTACGGTACTATTTATTAAGTATGTAGTTCCAACTGTTGAGGGAAAGAAATCCGTTGATGCATGTGACAATTCAAATGAAAACTGTTTAGCATACTAATTGTTTTGGGGAAATGTTGTTGAATTTTGACTTTGGCCACTTTGGAAGTGACAGGGTTAACAAATCAACCAATTTTGTTTCTGGGTGTGCCCGAAATCCTCTCTTCTTTAAAATGCTTGCCACGCAAGCTAACCTGATGGCTCAGCACTTCCTATAGTCAAGGGAAAGCGGGAGGGGGACTGGACACTACTCTTACCAGGCGTACACGCAAACAAAACAACACTAAATAAAATTTGATAACCTTTATTTCCTACCTAATATCAACTTCCGACACAAGGGTCTATTTTTCCTTACGATTATCATTGCAAATAATCTGGGTTTTGTGAACCAACTAGAAACGAGAGCTTACAACACTAAAGGCATTACACCAAACAAAAAACTTAACGACAGTGGTCAAGAAGCTTTACGATTCGTTACCTATATTTAGGTCTCGCCAGCCTCAGACTAAAAAATAACAGTGACTCACAACTCTATTGAGTGAAACAAATTTTAGCAAGTGTAAATGTTGTTAAACGTCCGCCCCTCATTTCTGAGGTCACAAGAACCTTTCTTAACTTAAGATATCCTCGCCACTTAGGGAGCGCAAAAGAATTGAAAGTGTAGAGAAATGATTGACTAGATTATGAACAGAAAAGAAAGTATTAATCGACCATTAAATAGTTGTCAGTTAAAACCTTAATGTCAAGCAAGTTTTAAATAAACACAAGTTTTCTGATCATATTTTTCGTGACACTTTATATATTTAGATTCCTACTACAGTAACTTGTATAAATAAAACGTACGATTTTCAAATACTTTCTTAAAATACGGACTAAAATTCTTGCTATCTATTTTTATAGCTTTACAGAAACGCAGAATGTTTGTAAATTGTAATCCTTCTTCTAATTGGCCTCCGTCGATCACGTGACCGTTGTCCAAGTCCAGGAGGTCGATTAGTCTGCAGCCTAAGCTCTGTTGTGAGAGGCAGATGCTGTTTTCTAATATGATGTAGTCTGTGCCATGTTGACGCAGGATTTCGTACACCTGTCTCGGAGGACGTTTGGCGTAAATTTGATAAACCTACATCAAAGAAAGAAGGAGAGTAAGAAAGACTCAAAGGATAGAGTGTTATCCAGGCGCAGGAAACTCTTTTATCATCGCAACATCTCAAAGGAGCTGTGTCACGAATTTTATCAAAATTCTAACCGCAGGAACTGTCACCCAGTTGAGTGAATCATAAACATATATATCGCTCAAAACATTAAAAGAAAGTATCAGTTACAAGTCAAATGAAAAATTGGGCACGGATAGATAAACTTGACACTAAAATTGTACTTGAAAACTTGTTCGCCAAACAGTTTTTCAAAGTTCATTTTTGTTGTTTCGTTAACTAGACAGCCGTGACACACCAGCCCCTTCAACCATTCGTCAATGTTTTTTATCATCAGTCGCTGTAATAGAAATGGATACCACCTTGCATAAGTCGGTGAGACATATCTTTTTTTCTTTCCTTTGTCTTGGCAAACTCGCAAGTGAAATACAACACAGAAAAAAGGAGGTAAAGTCACAGTTTAAACTTGTCACATAGCAAGGCTACTCCGTAATCTGTATAGGACGCCTTTCACATACGAACGGCTAGAAAAAGGCCTTTTTTTAGTTAGCTCAGAGCAACCTCTTCATTTTAGTGAGCATCGCGAGAGGCGACCGGAAAAATGACGCGTGAGCGACTAACGATGCGATGACGGCTCGCTCGCGCGTGCCCCAGGAGTTCTGCGGATTTCCAGACAGAGAACTTGCTTGCAGGCTAATTACGCCAGGGACCAGTTGTTCGTAAGGTGGGTAACGCTATCCACTGGATAAATCACTATCTGGAGGATGATGCAATTGTTTTCCCTAATATTCATCCCCTGGATAGTGATTTATCCGGTGGATAGCGCTATCCAACATTTGAACATCCGGAGCCAGGAGTATACTTATATTTCGCTAGCTCAAGCGTTCGAACACTTAGCGGAAGACCCCAAGACCATTCAGGCATTACTATTCCGGCTGTCGCCAGGGATTTGGCTTTTTTTTGGCCAATGTTCATATGTTGGATTATAATCTTTACCTGTTTTGTTCTTTCTCTGAGAAACTTGTTTTCGTAGTGTGGGTGATTGGTGATGTGTCTGTCTGTGCATAGCTTCACTCCTGCTAAAAGCTGCATGCTACCAGTAAATGACGCTTCCGGTGGGGTATTCTGACTAGAATGCAACAAGGGAACTGTCACACAGTTTATAAGTAGTACAATTTGACTAACTATGAAACGACCATTATACTGTGATAAAAGGCGGATTAAAACGCACCAATCATATTTAGGGTGAATAACATGGCTTTACTGACAGACGACCAATAACAACGCGACTCAATTGGGACGGACTAGGGGCAATTTGAGCATGCGGTACCATACCACACAGTATCACAACATATATAAGGCACCAGAGCATTAGAGCTCCATGGCGAAAGGAAATACGGTACAAAGCGCCTTGGCATATAACACAGTGATGAAACCACGTTATGGTCCATCATTACAATGGTCACTTCGGGGAATATAAGAAATGACTCATATTTTGAACTGCGGATAAATATATGAATGGGGAAATCATCCTCGCTGTTAAACGAACAACCGCTTAGGTTGTTCATTTAACTGCAAGTATCATTTCCACTTTCATAAAGGTCACCTCTATTTACGAAGGACAAAAGTAGGGGTGTGTCGTGAAAGTTGTGGGGTCGAGCGTTTACGGTGGGCCGGGAGAACAAAGAGTTCTGTACTCACTTTATCCACTTCATCAACTCTACTGTGTCAGGATCGTAAAATTCCCTCAATTCCTTGAGTTCGTCCAACGCTCGCGGAAGACGCTAGAAAACAAAGTCGAATTGTTTTTCAGTTACTAGTGCAGCTCTAATCACCTCTCCCCACCACAGTTTGCGCGTAATAAAGAAGGGCACACAGGCTGGAATGTCAACATGATCATTGGGAGCAAGGAAGGAGCGGTGTTGTAAAGACATCGATTGCAAAAAAAAATCACAAAATTATAGACCCACGAATAAAAATCCTTGCGAAATTTAAACACGAAAAATTTAATACCCATATAGAAAATTTAACTCACACACATAAAAAGGATTAACATGTAATAAAAACAACATATACAAGATATGCATCGACAAATAAACACATTATCACAAAATGGAACTTACAGTAAAACCTGCTTTTACTGTAAGTTCCATTTTGTACATGTATCTCCTGTTGTGAAAGTTGCAAAGATTACACGTATGAAGTAGATAAATATGCGTTTTCCTTGTCCCAAGCAAAACGGAGTTGACAAACAATAAAGTGACGTTGAGAATGCTTAAATCGCGAAATTTAATGTCTTTTTTCACATTTACCTATTGAAATCACGAAAATAAAACCCTGCGAAATATTGTCTGGCCAAAATCACGAAATTAAGTACCCGCGAAATTAAGTAACAATGAGGTATATAATATTCCTAAGTAATTTACTCCTGTTTCTTTGAATCCTACTTATAGATTCCACTTCGACGTGGAAAGCATGAACACATGGAGCATGAGCACATGGTAACCGAGTTCTCAAGGGCTCTTAGTGTGTCGTGGATTAGGAAATAACATTAACAAAGTATTTATTACTTTTTTTAAGTATAAACTTACATTGAACAGCAAAATGGCCAGAAGAAAGGCAGCGACGAAATGTCCCGTGAACTTCGCCTACAGAACAAAAATATAAAATGCAGTGGAAACTTTGATATCGGCACCATTCGCCAACGCCCAAGACATGCTGTGCCAAACCTGTATCACCTATGACGGACACGGTTTTTCGCATAAGGATAGGAAACAGGGTTCGTACTCTTCTGAGTTCTTCACCTTCCAGGACTTTCTATTACTTGTTCAAGTTTTTCTAGACTTGCTACAAGTCGACTTCTCGTAAGTTCTTAAAAGCAAGCGGAGATAGCTTCAATGAGCGACCGAGCAAACAACGAAGTCGCGAGGTCGACTTGTTGCGCCTGAATGGATTTGAATTTCATCATAAATTCACGCGGGAAAAAATGATTGACATATGATGTGTCGGGAGTGACGACAAACACCACTCGCTCTCCTTTTGGTCAATCGCGTATGACGTCACCAGAGAGTTTTCGACCGGTAAATTTCGCGCCAAATAGGTAAGAAAAGTCCTTTAAAATGACATAACCAACCAGGTAACAAAACCTTCCTTGGTTTAGGGTATTTTTTACTTAACTTAGTTCAAAAGACACAAACTGCGTGCCGTTCGCACTGTCTGATTACTCTTCTCTACCTTACATTGTCCTCGATTTGACATAACCTACAGTAACCAACCTACGAAACATTACTTAAATTGCATGAATTTCCAGGTTTTAGAATTCACGTACAAACCTTTTTAATGTGTTTTGACTCAAAACGGTTAACATTTCCTTAAGTCAATCGACAGGAAAAAAAAGCTAAATTTAGCGAACCAGCCACATTTTTCTCCTGCATCTTGCACAGTGAATCGTTTCAGCAATATACGAGCAAAGAGCGACTCACCCATGTTTCTTTGAGTCCTATCTTCGTTAGCGCTGTTTTCCAGAAATATTGGTTACAAAATATTCCAGCGGCAAACAAGCACATGTGAGGTGTCCATAGAAACTTAAAACGGAGAGCAGTTAGGGCCAGTGCTCCAAAGAAAACGCTCTGAATGACTTGATAAACCACCTCCGGATGGGAGTTAAGAAAAAGAGGATCCGCGTCTTCTGTGATATCGTCACGTTTTCTGCAGGGGACAAAAACTTTTATTTTTTCGCCGCAACTCAAAAAATCTTAAGCCTGCAATTCTTTTGTAATGAGGCCATTTGCAAGATCAACAAGGGGCTGTTTACAGCGAGCAAGATCCCACTTGCGTGTTGGTGGGTGTTGAACATTGCGCATGAAACCAGTCAAATTAACTACGTGCAAACGCGCATGCAACAACAACACAGCAATGTTGGGAGTTGTTGGCCAACAATATTGCGTCGTTGGCAGGGGGCTTAATGTTCACAGGCAGGTCGTTAAAACTGATGCCAAAAACGCTCGGGGGTTGGAAGGAGAAAAGGCGCGTCTTTTTTTCGCGACCTTCCTACTACCTGAGACCATTGCATAGGTGACGTTATTTGTTGCTGTGTGTTCGCGGGATTATCAGTTTATCTAAAAATTTCTAAACATCTTTTGCAAAGGAAGATATCTCATAGATTTGTATTTAAGTGAAACAGATTTGCTATTCAAAACCCAAGGCAGCTTGCCCAAAGATTCGAGAGGAGAAGCCAGACAGGATTTAGACTATTCAAAAAGAAAAAAAACTGCTTACAACTCCAACAAATGAATATGTGTCTTACCTCCAATTAACAAACACTGTATATGCTAACAGAAATAATATGGCCACCATGGACACAACATAACAAGGAAATACCACACCGGTCGTCAGTCTGGAGTAGCTATCTGTGGGAAGGAATTTGAAGGCTCCCTCGCAAAGGTATAACAATGAATCAAAATCCCTGGGGAGAAATGAAAAGAGGGCAATTAAAACAAATGGCCACCTCGTTCTCTAAATTCCAAGCCCGTGTATTCATTTAGCCCTGCAATCCTGCTCAGCTAACTCAAGCTAAAAGAGCACAAAGCAGTAGATTGTATGTTTGAACAGCCTGTCCACAGACTTTTTTCTTTTTAAGCGCGCGAAGTTCGAGAAAAAAAATTTCTCCTTTCCCCACCCCTACCCCTTGCGCTTGCGGTGAACAAATCCCCCCCCGGTTTTTATTTTTAATACGTGAGCTCGATGACCTCTAAAGAGAAAATAGAGACCTAGGGTCTGTGAACAAGCTAGGCTTGAACCCCAAACGTAACTATACTCGGGTTATTCATAACGTTGTGACATTTTAGAACATTTTATGAGTCACTCGCAGGTAATATACCCTTGATGTTCTTAGAAGCAGGGTTACGAAATCTTGAAAGAGGGGAATAAACGCTAGTATCATTGGCGGTATACGCGGATAGCGGTTGCATTTTCCCGTTGGAATTTCAGCAGGAAAATGCGACGGCTATCCAAGTATGCTGCAAAAGAATCCACCCAAAATTGGATCATCCTTTAGGACACTTTTAACGTGGTACAGGACCTGTAGGGGTTGAAATCACGGCCGGTCAACGGAGTAGGATAATGTCCGGTTATAAGTAGGCTTTGACCGCTCAAATCCTTGGATGACTGGACAGGTTGTCCGGTCGTTTACGCTTCTACTGGAAAATTTTCCTCAGAACTTCTAAATTTAGATAATTAGACATTATTGGCGTTCGTGACAAAAAAAAGGAAAAGAAAGAGGCTTTTTAAGAGATAGGACGTGATAGATATTTGTCCGGCCATGAAAACCGGGTTGTGTCTGAAAAATAGGTTTGACCGGACAACTTGACGGGCGCCAATCGCAAAATTGTTCCAAGCCTTTTACAGGGGTTTTGACTTAATTCTGTCATAAACAAGGTACAAAGGTTCTCTTTCGTTAATAGGAAATATTGGATTAATTTGGTTTCCAAGAAACTGACCACCTTCCCCTCCCCTAACGCAAAATTTTGCCCCAAGTGAGACGTAAAGGTTAACGTTGATTTAGGGGAGGGGTAGGCAGGCAGTTTCCCGGATTGATCCTTCAATGTGTCCGCAATTCAATTCGAAGCAAGCACAGGGTACTTATAAACAGTGCAGGGGCAATCTGGGAAGCACAACTGTGTCCGCAATGTGTCAATGTATCCGCAATTCAATTCGAAGCAAGCACAGGGTACTTATAAACAGTGCAGGGGCAATCTGGGAAGCACAACTGTACCTACACTTGGTGGGGGTTTCCAATCTTCTATGAGAGGTTCAATCCACTTACTCTACAAACGCGACTATGTGCTGACCACGTCCTTCGCACTGTTAGGGAGGTCAAGCAACGACGAGGACGAACGCAACGAAAACGTCGCTAAAAATGAATCTGCGTCCTTTCATCGCTCAATTCGTCAAGTGTGGGCGTTTTTCTTGCAGTTGAATTCTAATGGACTTTATCGAGGTTCAAAAAGAGAAAGGAAAATTCGTCATCATATGTTCACGTCCTCCATAAAACGTCGCATTAGGAGGTTTGACGTCGTAGTCGTGCAGTGGACGTCAAAGAAATGTACTAAAAAGCGTGATGCACGTGCAGAGTTATTGTTTTGCTCATAAAACCAATTGTTGTTGTTGTTTATTTTTTTTGACGTTGTAGTTGTCGTGGACGTCGTCGTGGTTGCTCAAGCTCCCTATTTTTACTCAAGGTTCATAAGAAGTCGCATCAACAAATAAAAACAATAACGGATGACACTTCATTTTGTTGTAACTTACATACCTTCCAACGCCGTAACCGAACTTTGACTTGAGAAACTTAAAGATGTGCTCATCTGACTCAATTCGCAAGACAACCTGAAATAGACAAAATCAACAAATTTGACAAAGATTCAGTTGTTCTACTACTATAGCCTTCCATCCAGTCATCCTTGGGGCTTCGCCACAAAATATGTGGGGCAGGAACGTGTTACAAAACCCCAAGAACGTCTGCGTGGGAACCTAGTTTTTGTACTGCATCAATTCAAGCCCTACATTTACAAGGAGAATGGTTGACAGGCGTGGGTTACATAGTCACTAATACACTTTTATGGTAATGGTTCAACATACCTTAACAAGGAAGCTTATTACTCCAGCTAACAAAAGAACTGCTATGGTATTGAGAACAAGCTTAAACACTCTTAGAAATGGATTGTCATTTGAATTTTCCTCTCCCTGAAACACAACCAAAGAGTCTGTCAAAAAAATAAAATATCAAGATTTATAACTAATTTGATGTGGCTGCCATCTTGAATTCATACGGATGAGAATGTAAATTGTCTGTGGGAAAAGAGTGGGCGATAATATTGTGGGTGGGGGGAGGGGAGGGGAGAAGAATTAAGAACCACCTTCCTATAGACAGGAGAAGAGTGACGTCACGTTACTATGGTAGCAAAATTTCTGTATCACAACAATAGGGAGTTTAAGCAACAACGACGATGAAGCATCGAGAACCGTTAAAAAGCAATAAGTTTATATTGGCAAAACAACAACTTTGCACGTGCATCATGCTTTTTTGTACATTTCTTAACCGCCATTGAACGAAATTTTGAAATTTCGTTACCATGGGAAAGTGACGAAACGGCTTCTCCTCTCTATAGACCTCCTTACAAACTAGCCTGTACAGCAGGCTTTTAAAAAGGAGGGAAGGACATTTAACCCTATAAGTCCCAATATCCACAAACAAGTTTTCCAAACTGGTCTCCATACATTTCGTTAACCCATTCGCTCCTGGAGATTTTGCCGAAAAACGCGTTTTGAAGCTAGTCGAGTGGTTTTCTGGTCACTGTCGTGCAATAAAGACCTAAAACTTACCAGAAACCGGTTTACAGGTCGTACACTTCGCGGCCTTCTGATCCAGATGCAAAATATCAGCTTGCGAAGTTCGGGCATGCGCAGAAAGCAAAATTTCGAGAGTTTTTGGGTTTAGAAGTGACACAGCAGTCTTGACTTTTACTTTTCGCTTTCTCTCCTCCCTTCTTTTTTCGCTTTTCTTGCCTCATTTTTTTTTCTCTTGCTGGGCATTTAGTAGGCTTGATTTTGGTGGGAAGAGTTTTTAGGAAAGCTTTTAGGATCTTAGGATTAGGTGAAAGGAAAGGTAGGTGGGTAATGGAACAAGATTTTCATGAAGATTTTCCGGTCAATGTCACGTGGTTTTTTGCTTGTTTCTCCGGTGTCCTTGACTGAATTGTGCTCATTCTGGTATGGTTTGAAAGATCTCTTCACTCTGCACAAGTTAGCGAAGAAAGTTGTCCTTGACCGTTAAAACTGATGACGTCACAATGGGTAGAAAGGACCTGGATCCGCACGGGCGGTTACGGGCGGTTCAGGGGCGAATGGGTTAAAGAATGAGTTCAGAGAATTTGTCCAAAGATCAAGGCATTTTCTCTTTGGTAATCATTTTGTTAATTCTCATAACCGTATCTCTTGACAGTGTACGGATACTGTCAGGAAAAAATTTTGATGTTGGTCACTATTGGGACTTAAAGGGTTAAAAGCATGTAAAAATTCTACAAATGTTTGCCAGAGGGAGAAGAAAGAGGAACTCCACCAACCATAGCGTTCTTTCATACCCAATTTCTCCCATCCCTTTCAATTGCCTTCCATGAAGGTGCATTCTCCCGGCCAGATGTCATTCATCGTGTTAAATCAAGTGGGTGATCTTGTCAATCTCACAAAAAATAATGGAGTGGAAACAATCTCAAGGCCTTCTAGCTCGAAAACAATACAAAACTCACATGGATAGTCATGAGGATAACTGCAGCCACTGCAAAACTCAGAGCAAGTGAACAAAGGATCATATCATTGATAAACTGCAGGATGCACACACTTAACAACGAACCAATCGCAATGAGGTAAAGGCATCGCGCCTGAAAGAAAACCAGTTTGATGGAAAATTAATGTCAATACCTCATACCATATTTTGTCCCTTTTTTGCGCCACCACTACAAAATGACCTCTGCAAGAGCTGCTGTGGTATCTTTTAAGGGGCGTTATAGAGGCTGTAGAGCCAAAAACGATCAGTCATGTGGGAACTATTTTGTTACCCAAGTGGTGGTTGAAGCCACGACCAGTGACTTTGTTACAAATTGCTTGGGCCTTTATGAAACCAGACAGTTAACCTGAAGACAGACTCCGGGACAAACCTGTGTATTACAGTTTACTGAACAGAAGTAAAAATATACTCCTTCTGTTAATTGTTAAGCACGACAAAGAATAAAAGAAATATCCGTCGTTAAACAGCCAAAGAACTCACATGAACAGGATATTCTACAAAAACAACTTCAACTACATCGATTGATCTTTGCATTCTATGGGACACAAGCCATGAATATTATTTCACATCTTTAGGGATTTTTATGCATCAGAGAACCAGGACGCAGAGGTAACAGATGGTCACTGTACATCATCTACACAAGCCAACCCATCATTTCTTGTCCCCTCACAATACCTTCTTTAGAAATAATAATCTACTTTTTCTCTCAGCACAAATTAGTTTTAAGCATACTGAGGCTTACCTTGTGCTTGGAAATGAAGCCAAGTGAATAAGTACCAAAAAAAGCCATGGACTCCAACAGGAGAATAAACTGAGCAAACTGCCAGACCAATGTGAAGAAAAATGTACAAATTGCAATAACAGTGAGGCATAGTCTCTGAAATAAAATATCACAAATAAGGAATGAGCATTTGCTGAGTGATGTAGAAGTTTTTATAATACATGTATTTTATCATCTTTTCATGTATTTATTAGATTAATAATATAATCATAACAGTACCATGAGCTACAGCCAAGAGATATTCACTATATAATACTAGGATATATGCAGAGTATCTCTTATCATGCTCTGTAATTTTGTATTAAATGCACTTGAATAAAGATTTCTTATTAGGGAACACTATAAAAGTAAAAGTAGCTACCTGGGCAAGGGAGGAAACACCTTTCTTTAGAAAGTAATTTATAAATGCAATCTGTGCAAAGAGAAATGGGAATCCAAAACTTTCACGCAGAGGAATAGTAAACGATATTCTTGTAGTATCAGCCCTGAGGATAAAAAAAGAAAAAGAAAGCACATTATTTTAAGTATAGCTTTTATTTAACAGAGAACAAAAGAAAAAAGAGAGATATATAAACTGCACAAATTCCTGTTAAGAAAGAAAGCCTACCAGGAACCCTCTCCTAAGCATGGTTTTGCAGATTTGACAATGTCAAGGTTGTACATGTATTAAAAGTTTTCACAACACATGCCTGTTAAAAATGTAAAAACTTGCAGATAGTAAGCCAGCAAGCCAAGAACCACTTAGCATCCACGATGAGGCAAACAGCGCCATCATGTACATTCCATGTAAGGCAAAGATGGTATCAATATAAAAATATACATACTCCATCTACCAAGAAAAAAAAGGAAATTGGTGTAAACGATTATTTAAAAGATATACTTGCCAACCTTTATAATTAAATTTTAGTAGTATCAATAATACTAACTTATTATTGAAGGTAAGTATTTACAATCTCAGCAAAAATTTTAAAACAGACAGAACCCCAATCTGTAGACAAAAATTCTATGGCCTGATCATTTACACAAATCCTCCTGTGCATAATACTTTCACAGGCTACTCTTTATCTTGCATCCTGTAAATATATAGAAATAAAGCTTGTGGGCAAAACCCCATTGAAATAAATGTCGAAAGGAATCTTTATTGGTGATAATTTCACAAACAATAAGGGGTGCAAGACTTCTTCATTTCGCTTCACGTTTAAGTGTTTTCCATGTCCACTGTAATAACACCAACTTAAATTGAAGAACTACACATGCACTACCCATTCCAGTCCACCAGGAGGCCAATTTTATACTAAAATGAGCTGTCCCCATTCTTGGTTTACAGGATGCAATTGTAAGCAATGCACTCAACCGGGGTGAATTCATGCCAGTATGAATTTTTTTGGTGGTATGAGGTAAACAAAGAGAGCCCCAAAAGTGAAACTGGAGTGCGAAAGTGGCCCTGGTATCATGAAAAAAAAATCCTTAGTGTCTTTTCTAGTGAGAGTGAACTGTAGTGACAGAGGTTTATCTCTGTCAGTAAAACATCACAGTTCAGTGTATTGTTGACAGGGATTTTCATAAGCTGATGTGATCCAGATTATCTAGGTATCCAGTGTTCCCATTATCAGGCAGTAACCAGTAAAATTTACCACCTGAAGCAACACTTCTTACGGGCTGCAACTGTTTGGAGGTTTACTAAAATTGAAGAAACTAGATTTTAAAAAAAAATGAAGTTGTGATCCGATCTGATTTTCACAAGGAAAATGAATAAATATAATAAAATTATGGAATAGTAATAAGTATCAACAGCTTTTCTTTTTATGGGCCACGCATTCTGGAAAGAGAACATTGAAGACAGAGTAAAAATTGGAATCAATTGTATAAAATGTTGTCTAAAGATAACAATGGCCAATTATTTGCATAAAATAGGTCTTAAAATGAGAGAATAACATTTCAGAGAACTTAGCTCCTAAGTTTCCCAGCAAAGGCAGGGCTATGCCTCTCACTCCACTACCCCCCCCCCCCCCCCCGGGGGGGGGCCCAAAAGAAAAAGGGGTAAAAAAAAAAAGTTTTGGGGGAAAAAAAAAAAAAAAAAAAACCCACACACGAAAAAAAAAAACCATGATTGGGAAAATTTTTTAAGAGGCGCTATAAAAACATTTTTTTAAAAATATTAATTTCTTTATTTTTGTAATATATCCCCCCCCCCCCCCCCCCCCCCCCCCCCCCCCAGGGAGGTGTACCAGAAGTAAAGAGGTTAATGAAAATAAGTTTGAGTTGAAATAAAAATTAGCATGAACCTACTGACAGTACATTACACACCTGTATTGGTAAAATTCTGTACAGTGCTGCTAGAATAACTTCTTGATAAATATTAAATCTCTCTAATATGTTAATAGTCCTCAGATGCTCTGTTCTGTTATCATGCATGACATCATGGATTCCTAAGAAACAATAAAAATTATTGGGATGCGTCAGTTGAGACAATGACCGACGCACTTCTAAACCACAAAGAAGGCATCATGTTGGGATGCAGGACTATAGTACAGCGGTACAGTAGTTGTTTTAGCACGAGAAGTTTCCTAATTTCATGTGTTTTTATACCTAGGAATACCACAACTGTACTTTAACAGTCATGAACAATTGAATTAACTTACTTACTACAGGCAGAACTGAGGTAGGTAGGTCTGCAGTTGTTAGGATCAGTTTTCAGGTCCTCTTTAAATATTGGTGAAATTCTAGCTCATTTCCAAGCATTTGGATACATTCCATTGTGGTAATATAGAGACTAATTTGAAAAGTTAAACTATGAGTAACTATGGGTGATGCTTCTTTCAGTTAACTAGCCGAGATGTTATCAAGACCACACGCTTTATAAATCAGCATTTTCTCAATCCAGGCATTGTTTGCAACAAATCAACAAAGACCTTCCAGCAGGATTAGCTCTGTCAGTAGAGCACTTGACTGCAGCGCAGAAGGTCATGGGTTCAATTCCCGAGGCCGGGCGAAAACTCAGGATCTTAATGAGAATAAAAATACTGCCTTTGCCCAGCAAGTGGCTAGACTTTCCCATGGCTCAGATAATCAAGTAAAATGGCAGTCCCGTCTTCAGCAGGAGACATATTGTCCTCAATTTTAGTACTTTAGTGCTAAATACATTAACACTCAAGTAAAGTACTTTTTTAACAGGAAGTTGTATTTGAAACATAAGGATTGAAATGGATTGCTTTGACCATCTGTCTGGCAGCCTCAGATTCAGCATGAAAAGGACTATTATTAACTAAGAATACTATGTGTTATTGGGATTTTCCCTTATCCTGGTTTAACTATGTAGAAACTAATTGCCAAAATGGATTGCAGATGAGTGCATTCTGTACATAATTATGAAACTCAGCTTTGAGTCGTGGTTGCAGGAAAGAGAGACAAGATTATCAGAAAATAACTGCTTACCTTGAAAAAATGATGGTGCTAAAACAATCTGCTTATAATATGAAAAATATAACCCTGACTCTGTCCTAAAGGATATTTCTCTCTCCAGTTGCTAAAAATAGGAAAAAACGTAATACAGGTAGTTAATTACAGGCACAGCAGGATATTTCATTCATTAGCACAATGGGACAACAGAAAAAAAAATAAATTAAATAATTTTTTTTCTTACATTCCTTCTTGCTGTAAAAATTATGCTGTAATATGAATATGGTTACTTGATAGTCATCTAAAATCACCTTGATAAGTCTTAAAAATTTATGTTAGGGATATTAAGCCTGTGTTATCTGCGGTAAAAATATGCAAAATGGTTTCTTCTGGAATAAATATGAATTAATTTTGGACGGACAGTCAAATGTAAAGCTTAATTCAATCTTATTATTCAGAATTAAAGATTAAAATATCAAAATCTATTTTATGCTTATCTTACGATCAAACTACATATCGTTCTTAATAAATAATGCTCTCTGATCGAAAGTGCATTTTGGACTATCCTAACTTATAAAGACTTAAGACTGTGCCCTGATAATTTATACAGACCAGAAAATATAAGCTTAACGGCCCAAACACACTTACATTGAGCATGATTAAAATAAGTGTATTTAAAGTCACATTACTAACCCCGATGTTTGAAAACCACATATCATTCTCATGAAGTTCCCGGACGTAGAGGGCATATTTTGTTCCTACGATCAGGGCTATTATTGATCCCAACAGAAAATTTCCGCAACTAGTCCAAGACGGTCCACCATTTTCGTCGGGTACTTTGGCGGCCGCACGACCGCTTTTTGATCCGCCGTTCGCATGGGACGAATTTCGATTTCTATCCTTCAACGGAACAACTTTTCTTTTACGCAGTTCAGACATTCCAAATCTGTGGGAGACATAAGCAGAAACACTGTTGTTGTAAAGCGAATCTCTGCAGCTAAAGATACATCGCGCGGTCAATATTATTTCGGAGTGATCAAATAATGACAGGCGCATGCGTGAAAGTTTCCTCAATAGTTTCGCGGCACGTTTATGTTCGATTTCCTCTCTTCGCGCGGTTTCAATTGACGTTTTATATTTTACAGTGGTTCAATATATATAGAATAATCATATCATCTCGGAATAAACAGCTTAGAGCAACAAAAGACTAGTGAAAATAACAATTGCGTGGACGCTTTAGTTTAA